TACCACCTGCCAGGGTGTGTTGGTCCATGCACAGGTCCTCGGGTTGAACTGGCCGTTCTTGAGAGCAGAGGTCGCATTCACGTGTCTCTCCACCTCTGGCGGAAATGTGGGGCGTGGCCAGCCACATTCAAGGTCACCTGCCTGTCCTTGGCAAGGTGGTGCTGCTGTGACCACAGAAGTGTCCATTGCGTTCCAGCACAGTGCTTCCTTTCTAAACATGCTGTGCTTACGGTAAAATAATGGCTGCTTGCCGAAACCGGTTTGGCTCAGTGGATAGAGCATCAGCCTGCGGACTGAGAGGTCCCAGGTTCGATTCCGGACAAGGGCATGTACCTGGGTTGCGGGCACATCCCCAGTAGGAGATGTGCAGGAGGCAGCTGATCGATGTTTCTCTTTCATCGATGTTTCTAACTCTCTATCTCTCTCCCTTCCTCTCTGAAAAAAATTAATAAAATATATTTTTTTTAAAAAAATGGCTGCTTTGAAAGCCCTGAGAGGAATTTCCTGGCTCAAGGTTATAGTACCAAGAGATTAGGGAGGATCCCTGTGATTTGGGGACTATTAGACTGTTTTAGCTAAGTGGGGTATATTTGGTTGAGCAAAGATGACTGTGTGTATACTTGTATGGGAAAAGCTACAACCTTTCTGCTGAGCTTCCCATTTACTCGCACACCACCACCAAGCAACCCTTCTCACACCAGAGGTGAGGGGGTTTCCACGCATGTCTTCACGTGCAATCCCCTTCTACCCGGAGTTTATTTTACCCACGAGACCACCCCCTTCAGATGTCAATCACCAATAGTATGTCCCCAGGTTATCCACGACTTCTGTCCTATCGGCTACAAATCAGAGGTTCCCATGACCTGCTCCTGGCATTCCATCATTTGTTAGAGCAGCTCACAGAACTCAGAGAAACACTTAACGTTTATCAGTTTTTTAAATATAATTTTTTAAAAAATATATTTTATTGATTTTTACAGAGAGGAAGGGAGAGGGACAGAGAGTTAGAAACATCGATGAGAGAGAAACATCGATCAGCTGCCTCCTGCACACTCCCCACTGGGGACGTGCCCGCAACCAAGGTACATGCCCTTGACCGGAATCGAATCCGGGACCCTTGAGTCCGCAGGCCGACGCTCTATCCACTGAGCCAAACCGGCTAGGGCTTAAATATAATTTTATTGATTTCAGAGAGAAGGGAGAGGGAGATAGAAACATCAGTGATGAGAGAGAATCACTGATTGGCTGCCTCCTGCACGCCCCACACTGGGAATGAAGCCCGCAACCTGGGCATGTGCCCTGACCGGGAAGCGAACCGTGACCTCCTGGTTCATAGGTTGACACTCAACCACTGAGCCACGCCAGCCAGGCTACCAGTTTTTTCAGAGATGATAAAGGATACAGGCGAACAGCAAGATGACACTCAGAGGGTGAGGTCTGGCAGGGTCCAGAGCACAGGAGCTTCTGTCCCCCATGGAGTTAGGGTGCGCCACTTCCCCGTGTGGATGTGTCCACCCACCTGGAAGCTGAATATATACAGGCCTCCTCATGTAGGCGTGATCAAGTGTTAACTCCTCTCTGGAGAGGTGGGGGCGGGACTGAAAAGCCCAGGCTTCTAATCATGGCTGGTCTTTCTGGTGACCAGCGCCCCAGCCAGGGGCCCACCCAGGGTCACCTCAGAACAGCAGAGGCTCCTAGTCCTCTTTTCACTAGCAACTCACAAGGGTTTAGGAGCCGAGACCAATATATACGTACTAGAGGCCCGGTGCACAAAAATTTGTGCACTCGGGGGGGAAGGGGGGGTCCCTCAGCCCGGCCTGTGCCCTCTCGCAGTCTGGGACCCCTCGGGAGATAACGACTTGCTGGCTTAGGCCTGCTCCTGGGTGGCAGAGGGCAGGCCCAATCCCTAGGTGCAGCCCCTGGTTGGGCTCAGAGCAGGGCTGATTGGGGAGTTGGGGCACCGCCCCCCGTCATGCACAGAGCAGGGTGGATTGGGAGGTTGCGATGCCACCCTCAGTCACGCTCAGGGTAGGGCCGATTGGGGGGTTGGGGCACCGCCCCCTGTCACACTCAAGGCAGGGTCGATGGGGAGGTTACGGTGCCATCCCCTGTCACGCACAGAGCAGGGCCAATCAGGGGGTTGGGCGCTGCCCCCTGTCATGCACAGAGCAGGGCCGATCAGGGGTTTGAGGAGCTCCCCCCTGTCACTCACAGGGTAGGGCTGATAGGGGAGTTAGGGCACCGCCCCCTGTCACACGCAGAGCAGGGCGGATCAGGGGGTTGGAGTGCCACCCTCTATCACCCACAGAGCAAGGCCGATCAGGGGGTTGGGGCGCCGCCACTGTCACTCAGGGAAGGGCCGATGGAGAGGTTATGGATCTACCCCGTCACACACAGAGCAGGGCCCATGGGGGTGGGGTGGGTTGGGGCGCTGCACACACGTGTCACACACAGAGCAGGGCCCATCAGGGGGTTGGGGCGC